GGCATGGTGGCTCGCGCCTGTAGTCCCAAGTACTTAGGAGGCTGAGGCAGGAGAATCGCTTGAACTTGGAAGGCAGAGGCTGCAGGGAGCCAAGATCATGCCACTGCACTCCAGCCTGGGCTACGGAGCAAGACTCTGTTTCAAAAAAAAAGAGAAAAAGTTCTATAGCTTTCATAATCAGATAGAGTTTCATTTTGAAATTTAAAAAATGAGATTAAGTTAAAATTTTAAATTATTGTTTTATATCCCTTCTAAAACTTGTTATAAACAGTGTCTTCTCGTGTACTTAATTACATATTTGGTTTATCTCATGTAAAAATGATAGGCATCGAATAAATAACAACCCTATTTCAAGTTAACCACCTTGTCTTTATACCAATTCTTGCCAGTTACGTCATGATTTATCAATATACTTATAATTTCCTTACGCTTTTCCAGATTATAAATCTATGAATAATTCTGAAAACAAAACAAGTTTCTATTCCTTTTCTGCAACTAAGTTACAAAAGTATTAACTACCGAAGAAATTAGATTTAGACCCCAGATAGGTGAAATCAGAAAAGCTTGCTACCAACTGTCATAACAGAATCATTCTGAATATGAGTTATCAGCATCAAAACAATATCTCTGTGGTTACCAAGCACTCCATACTCAACCTTAAGGGAAAAGGATACTTCAGAATATTATTATAGCATAAGCTTATGTGCTTCTTCATTTAATCAACAATTTAGAACTAACTATGAGGTATCTCACCACTAACAGAATAGCTTTAAGGAAACCCTTGGCAGTTTTCTTCTTTTTTTCATTTGTTTCATACCTGTCTTATAGTCAGTCATTCTACCCACACTGCACAAGCACTATGTACCTAAACAACTGCAACAAAGTTTTATCACAACCCAACAGAAAAAACAACCTTTTAGGCCAGCCAACCTTATAGACAGTGGCTCATGTCTATAATCCCAGCACTTTGGGAGGCCGAGGCAGGAGGACTACTTGAGCCCAGGAGTTCAAAACCAGCGTGGGCAAAGTAGCAAAAACCCGTCTCTACAAAAAATGAAAATAATAATTTTTATAAAGAAAAAATACATTTTACACTGCAACCAAGTATACACACACAAACATATCTTTTACAAGGAAACAAGTTTCCCAAATCAATATTTACTTTTACTTTATGCAATGCACCGATATATTCTGTTTTTCAAAATACTTTTTAAAGTAAGAACATTGATTTCATTACCCTATCACACTGCCACCTGCTACTTAAAAACACTTACACAGAACATGCTAAACTCCTTGCACCTACCACCTTCCACCACTGCTCCAACAGAAGAAAATGGGTGAATCTACCAAGTCTATTCCAAGTACAGATATTGGCATAAATGTGAGACATCCCAGGTTCCTCTGAAGTTCCTGAAACATTGTGAGTATTCCTACAAAGAGGATACATGTGCTGAAAGATTTCTCCAGGCAGAGTACAGAGGCAGAATTTCTGTTGCCTTATCAGTGACACTGGCAAATTCTGCACTTGAAAACATGTACCAGTGGTCACTGCTTCACAAGCCAATTCTTCCAAGACATAAAATAGAGTTCTAATACCAACCCCTTACATTTTTAGAATACTTTTCATATACACTATTCCATTTGATCCTCCCTGGCACTCTGTTAGAAAAGTAGAGAAGTTGCTTGTCTTCCTTTCACTAATGAGGGAATTGGAGCTCAGAGGGGTTATGTGGCTTGCCAAAAACAACACAGCTAACAGGCTCGAACCCAGGATTTACTGTTCTACCCACTTTCATGCTACAATTTTCATTTCTAATATCTGATACAAATGTGAGCTTAAAAGGTATATTGTTTCTAGATACAAAAGTACAGATGAAAGCATGATGTATGGATGATGTCATAAAATTAAGATTAAAAATAGCAATGTCGCGATGTGCAATGGGTCATGCCTGTAATCCCGGCACTTTGGGAGGCTGAGGCGAGTGGATCACAAAGTCAAGAGCTCAAGACCATCCTGGCTAACATGGTGAAACCCCATTTCTACTAAAATCACAAAAAGTTAGCTGGGCATGGTGGTGCACGCCTGTAATCCCAGCTACTTGGGAGGCTGAGTCAAGAGAATTGCTTGAACCTGGGAGGTGGAGGTTGCAGTGAGCTGAGATTGTGCCACTGCACTCCAGCCTGGAAACAGAGCGAGACTCTGACTCAAAACAAAAAAAGAGCAATGACGTTAGTAATTTTGGTAACCTGGAGTCCTAGTTCAATCCAATGTGAATCTGATATCTTATATGATAAATCAATGTTTCACTGATGATTAATTTATGTATATATTCACCATAGAAAATTACAGAATTGGGTGGAAAGAAATAACTAACTATATAAATTACACAAACTTCCCCCAAACCATTCTCAAGTCTCGTGGCTTCACACTAAATTATGACGTTCCCAATGTAAAACCCGATTTGGTTTCAACACTAAGTGAATTACAACAGCCTGAGCATGTTCTTTCTACATAATACTTGCAACATACATTCAATTTCTGGAGCACTTTTGTACAATGTCTACAATGCTCAAGCTAAAAGCAGAACCCAACACAGAATCATGTTTCTTTTAATGAGAAAAAATCATGTTTCTTTTAAATGAGAAAATTTCTTATCCAGAGCCCTACTTGATCAAAACTTGCTGTTTAAACCAATGCAAAACATCAATTAGCTTTTAATAACTAACACTTTCTTTTTTCCATATCAATACGGTTCACTTACTAAAAAAATATCTGAGGGCATAGAATATGCTGATAACTGCACTGGGTACTGGGGACCTCAGGGAACAAAACAGACAAGGCCTCTGGCTCTTCTAATGGACAGCTGGGTACAACTCTCTAAAAATACTACTCTGATTTGACAGGATATTTACAAAGTCCTTCACTGCTCTACACAACTATAACAACCTTTTCTTCCACCTCTTCCAAACTTATGACGACCTTCATCACACCTCCCCTAAAACACGAATACTTCCTTTGGTAACACAGCATTCCACTTTACTAAAGAAGGTGTGAACGTGTTAACTAGAACTACAGCAGATCTTTAAGCTGACTTTACCACTCCTCATGGCCTGTGGCAAATTTCAAGAACTTTTCACAATCCATGATAACCCTTCCTGGTTCACAACCCTGGTCTCAGATGACTGCTAACAAACCCATCCTACCCTCCACTAGAAATCTGAGTCTGTAGGAGCAACCATGATGTTGAGAAGCATCTTCAGCGGACCCCTTTATGAGCTTACTTGCTCCCTCTCCTTCTCTGTTTATTTCCTCTGGATTCTTCAATATATCTCTGGATACAGTATATCTCCAATAATTCAGCATCGAATTTTATCAGGTGTGTTTCTTGTGCATAAATTAACTTTTGGCAACAAATCTGTTTCCCCTACATAAATATTTTAAGAGTTGCTCAAGGCCGGGCACAGTGGCTCACGCCTATAATCCCAACACTTTCGGAGGCCAGGGCGGGTGGATCACAAGCTCAAGAGATGAGACCATCCTGGTCAACAAGGTGAAACCCCGTCTCTACTAAAAATACCAAAGTTAGCTGGGCATGGTGGTGTGCACCTGTAGTCCCAGATACTCGGGAGGCTGAGGCAGGAGAACTGCTTGAGCCCAGGAGGCAGAGGTTGCAGTGAGCCGAGATCGTGCCATTGCACTCCAGCCTGGGTAACTCGGTCTCAAAAAGAAAAAAAAAAAGTTGCTCAATTTGCATCTCTTTAAGTTTCTCATGCGTCCCCTTCTTCCCCACCTCTTAAATCCTTAAAGATCTATAAACAAAAGCACCCTGAGAAGTCATAATTAATGGGACTTCTTTGGAATACCCACCAATCTAAAGCAAAAGTTCACATGCCTTGCTGACCAGAATCATTCAAGGGAGCTTTGTAAGGATGTATTCCCAGGCCCTATCCTCAGAGATCGTAATTCACCAGGTCCTGCATAAGTTCGAGGAATTTCGGTAGTCCATACTATTTCTAATGATCAGCCTTAAACTAGACAACCACTGAAGAACCTGGGCTGCGAGCTGAAAAAGTTGGGTTCTTTTATGGCTGGCCATTAACTACAAGCAGGGCTGTACCACTGTGCTGGTCACTTGAAGTTCTCTGAGTCACTTGAAAATGAGGGAGTAATTGGAGCCAAAAGAGGTCTTCATAGGCAGCCAATCTAAAATTAGAATCCTCCAAATTTAGTTTAATATCACATACTATACTGGGTCTCAAAACAGCCTCATTCTGGCTGGGGGCTCATGTCTGTTCTTTCAACACTTTGGAAGGCCAAGGCAGGCAAATCACTTGAGGTCAGGAATTCCAGACCAGCAAGGCCAACATGGTGAAACTCCGGTCTCTACTAAAAATACAAAAATTAGCCGGCCGTGGTATCCCACACTTGTAATCCCATCTGCTTGGGAGGCTGAGGTGGGAAGATTGCTAGAACCGGGGAGGCGGAGGTTGCAGTGATCAGAGATCACACTACTGCACTTCAGACTGGGCAGCAGAGCAAGACTCTGTCTCAAAAAATATATATATATATATCATTCTGTAAGCTCTTCTAGCCTACCCAAGTCACAGGCCCTATAGAGGGAAAACTTTCTGCATCCCATCAATGTCTCCTGTCCTACTGAACAGCCCTGAATCTTAAAGGGTATGGTCCCCACCACCTCGACATTAAAGAAAAATCATCTCCTATAATTCAACCCAGGCCTCTCATGGTATCATCCACATATGAGAAAGTTGAACCTCAACTAGGAAAGTATATGGTTTTGGGGTTTGGTTTGGTTTGGTTTGGTTGTGAAAAAACAGATGTCACAGGCAGGGTGTGGGGGGCTCACGCCTGTAATCTCAACACTGGGAGGCCAAGGCAGGCGGATCACGAGGTCAGGAGTTCGAAATCAGCCTGGCCAATATAGTGAAACCCCATCTCTACTAAAAATACAAAATTAGCCGGGCATGGTAGTGCTCACCTGTAGTCCCAGGTACTTGGGAGGCTGTGGCAGAAGAATCGCTTGAACCAGGGAGGCGGAGGTTGCAGTGAGCCGAGATCTTGCCACACTGCACTCCAGCCTGGGTGACAGAGCAAGACTCCGTCTCAAAAAAAAAAAAAAGATGTCAGAAAACAAAGTGGATATCAAGATACTAGAACAGTAAGATCTGGAAAGGACATTTGAATTTGAATATCAATACCTAAAAGTAATCCATGTGCAAAACTCACAAGTGAGATTATCAAACTCCAGGGGAGTCTATTAATGTGACCATAAACTCTGCCCCTTAATTTCGACATTAAGTTTTCCAGTCCCAACTACTACCGACAATATAATCTTATGGGTCCGGAAATGCCATACAACAAGCAAAATGTCTCCCCGAGAAATAACACTGTAAACGATTGCGGAGCAGTCCGACCAGTGTTCCCTGAGCTGCGCAAACTGTCCCAGCATCCTTCCCACCTAAGTACTACCAGGTCAGGAGGAGGTCCTGCTGCACCATCAGGCGGTCACTCCTCCTTTCCACAAGGCCCAGGCCTGCGCCATGCGCCCCGGGGCTCCCGTGACCCCCGACCTCCAGTCTCTGGCAACGACGGAGCCCCACAGACCCGGCAGGGGGTGAAGGGCACACACTCACCTCCCGGGAGTCCGTGGGCTCCTGGGGCACGTCCCACACCCGGAGCCGCACGGGCCCATCTCCGACAGGTCCGGGAGGGCAGCCAGAGCCCGAGACCCCGCCTTCCCCGCACCTAGGGTCCGGCCGAGCTGGCCGCTGAGCTCCCATTTCCACTCCCTCTCCCAGCGCCACCCCCTGGCGGCGGCGATGGCCCGGGACGCCCCTCCCCGGGCCCCGCACGCCGTCCCCAGCCCTTCCAGGCCACTGCCTCCTCCGAGGGTGACAGCCGCCTGGCCCGGGCCAAGGCCGAGGCCGGCCCCTCCTCCAGCCTCTTCACCTCCCGAGGAGACAGGGGACGGGGTGGGCTTCTTACCGGGCAGCGCGACACGGCGAGGTCCGCCACGGCACGGCCTCCTCCTCCGCCACCCCACCAGGCTCCCTGCCAGAGCCGGCGCGGAGCAGCACCTGAGCCGCTGGGGCGTCTCATCCCGCAGCTACTCCGCAGCCGCCGCCGCCGCCACCACAACAACCTGGCGGCCGCAGCCGCACAGAGCGCGCTCTCGACGCGGAGCCCGGCGACAAGCGGGGACGCGCGCGCACGCTAGGGCGCTGAGCGGGGGGTGTCCGGGAAAGGAGGCGGGTCTCCCCTGTTGGACGGGGGCGGGACTGGACAGGTGGTCACGCTCCAGGAGATGGGCGGGACTGCAGTCCAGACTAATACCCGCGGCTAGGCAGAGGCTAGCAAAAAAGCCCAGTGAAAGGCCGGGCGCGGGCCGGGCGCGGTGGCTCACACCTGAAATCCCAGCACTTTGGGAGGCCGAGGCGGGTGGATCACGAGGTCAAGAGATCGAGACCATCCTGGTCAACATGGAGAAACCCCGTCCCTACTAAAAATACAAAAAATTACCTGGGCACGGTGGCGCGTGCCTGTAGTCCCAGCTACTCAGGAGGCTGAGGCAGGAGAATTGCCTGAACCCAGGAGGCGGAGGTTGCGGTGAGCCGAGATCGCGCCATTTCCAGCCTGGGTAACAAGAGCAAAACTCCGTCTCAAAAAAAAAAAAAAAAAAAGAAAAGAAAAAGAAAAAAAAGCCCAGCGGAGAAAGATGGGCTAGACAGATGGGAAATGGGCGGAGGTAAAGCGATGACCAAAAAAAGCTGGAAGAAAGCCAAAGGTGATCCTACAGGTTTATTTAGGAGGGATCTTTTCCAAGCTCTCTAACCCTGGGCGAGACATGGCTTACTCTACTTACCTGATAGAAAAGTTCTGGCATCTTTCACCTACCATTTTGATCATGGTAAAACAAGTTTAATATAATGTAAGTAAATATAGTGTTTTAGAAGTTGTATTCAGAATACTACTTTTCTTTTCTTTCTTTCTTTTTTTTTTTTTTTTTTTAGACAGAGTCTGGCTCTGTCACCCAGGCTGGATTGCAGTGGCACCTGGTTCGCTGCAACCCCCTCTCCTGGGCTCAATCGATCCTCCCACCTCAGCCTCCTGAGTAGCAGGGACTACAGGCACACACAACATCATGCCCAGGTAACTTTGTATTTTTTGTAGAGATGAAGTTTCTGCCATTTTGTCCAGGCTGGTCTGGAACTCCTGGGCTCAAGCAATTCCCCACTTCGGCCTCCAAAAGTGCTGGGATTACAGGCATGAGCCACCGTGCTCAGTCCAGAATACAATTTCAAACTGATTCAACTTCAGCTCCTAATCAAAAGCTCAGCAGGAAGAAGTGACTTTTCAAACAAAATTAAAAACAAAAACAAAAACAAAATTGTAAACTACCCACACTAGCCTGCAGAATTCCACAAACCAGGATTGCATTACCTTAGGCCCTAACAGATCTTCCTCCTCTGAGTTGAATTTTAACATTCTAGCCTTGACTTTTCTGGCAACTGGAAGAACTAGTCAAATGAAATCTATTCCTGCATTTGTTATAAAGTTTTTTCCATTGCACTTTCTGAAATTTATTTTCAACCTTTATTGTCTTTTTCCTCCCCTAGAATGTAAGATAAGGATCTTGTTTGTCTTGTTCATCACTATTTCCCCAGCACCTAACTGTGCAGGTAAGTAGTAGGCAGTCGAATTTCTCTATTAACAGCTGGCTGGGTGCTGTGGCTCACACCTGGAATCCCAGCACTTTGAAAGGCCAGGACAGGTGGATCAGCTGAGGTCAGGTTTTAGAGACCAGCCTGGCCAACTTGGTGAAACCCTGTCTCTACTAAATATACAAAAATTAGCGGGATGTGGTGTCAGGAGCCTGTAATCCCAGCTACTCAGGAGGCTGAGGCAGGAGAATTGCCTGAACCCAGGAGGCAGAGGTTGCAGTGAGCTGAGGTTGCACCACAGCACTCCAGCTTGGGCAACAGAGCAAGACTGTCACAAAAAACAAAAACAAAAACAAAAAAAAAAAACAGAAACAAAAAAACTAACAGCTACCATTTATTTCTACAACTCAACTAGTTGAATCTTCACAACTCTAATAGGTAGACACCGTACAGATGAAGAAAGTGAAGCACAGAATAAATTGCTCATATTAAAACAAAATCCAAACCCAAACCAGCAGACAAAAAATAAAAAAACACTGTGTTCTCACCCACCAGGCTGTCCTGCCCAGTTCATGACACAGTAGCCTGAAATAAAATCTCAAGTAAGAAATTACTTTAGTCCAGGCACAGTGGCTCATGCCTGAAATCCCAGAACTATAGGAGGCCGAGGCGGGCAGATTGCTGGAGCTCTGGAGTTCGAGACTAGCCTAGGCAACATGACAAAATCCCGTCTCTACAAATCATGCCAAACAACTGGCCAGGCGTAGTGGTGCATGCCTGTAGTTCCAGCTATTTGGGAGGCTGAGGGAGAGGATGGCTTGAGCTTGGGAGGCAGAGTTTGCAGTGAGCCCTGATTGTGCCACTGCATCTCCAACCTAAGCATGAGAGCAAGAAAAAGAAAGAACAAAGAAATTACTTTAGAATTCAAAGCTTGGAAAGCCCTTGTTAGTATGAGAAAAACGGTGTGCTTCCTATTTTCTGATAACTGTTATGCAGCTGATTGTGTCTCTCTTTTCACTCTGGCTTCCAGAAAGCCCAGCTCTATATGAGAAGCTCAGCGATGAACTCCTCTTGCCCCTTAAGGTCCACTCTTGCCTCGACTTTGCACCTTTATTTATATGTGGCTGTCTTGATTTTCCTTTCTGTTGTATGACTGCAGACTTTATGGAATGGGAAAAGAAATAGTAAATACACAAAATTGATGAATGACTTAAAGTTTTCATTTTATTTTTTATATTTTATTTTATTTTATTTTGAGACAAGGTCTCAGCCAGGCGCGCGGTGGCTCATGCCTGTAATCCCAGCACTTTGGAAGCAGAAGTGAGCAGATCATGAGGTCAAGAGTTTGAGAACCAGCCTGGCCAGCATGGTGAGACCCCGTCACTACCAAAATTACAAAAAATTAGCCGGGTGTGGTGGTGTACACCTGTAAGCCCACAGAGGCTGAGTCAGGAGAATCACTTGAACCCTGGAGGCAAAGGTTGCAGTGAGTGGACATCCCACCACTGCACTCCAGCCTGGGAGATAGAATGAGACTCTTCCTCAAAAGAACAAAACAAAACAAATAAACAAACAAAAAAAGAGAGAGACAATATCTCACTCTGTTACCCAGGCTGGAGTGCAGTGGCTTGATCTCTGCTCACTGACACCTCTGCCTCCCGGGGCTCAAGCCATCCTCCTACCTTAGCCTCCTGAGAAGCTAGGACTACAGTCGTGCACCACCACACCTGGCTAATCTTTGTATTTTTAATAGAGATGGAGGGCAGGTCTCACTATGTTGCCCAGGCTGGTCTTGAATTCCTGAGTTCCAATGATCCATCTGCCTTGGCCTCCAAAAGTGCTGAGATTACAGGTGTGAGCCACAGTGCCCAACCTTAAACTTTAAAAATTAAGGAAAAAAAAAAATAAAAGGACTTTCAAACCCTCAAAAACTAAGGTTTTCTCATCAGCCACCAAGACCCGGTGCAGGGAAACGCCCCTGCTCCGTGAAAAGCCATAGGATGAATTTCCACAGGTGGGTGGCCTCTGATTTAACTGAAGCTAGCACCTGACTCCAGGACATCCCACCCATAGGCTACCTAGCTCCCAATGAGATGGCACAGGGCAAAGAGTTCTGATAATAGGCAGGCAGCATCCACTCAGCCAATCCCACAGCTCCCCAGGAGTTCACAATGGGAGAGTAAAGGCGATGGCATGTAATTTTGGGCCTCTTTTTAGACAGAATATCATCGTGTTTGCCTTTTAATCTGGTGTAAGTCATCTTGAATTGAATCTTCAACCAGTATTTGGGACATGGGAGAACTTTCTCTATGCCCATGAAATCACACTCTTCGCACCTTCTCATTTTCATAATAGCTAAGGTGGATTGGAATGAGTGGCTATTCACAGACCAGATATTGGCACACTATAGCCGGCTCCAGCAGTCCTCCTGCCTCGGCTTCCCTACTGGGTCTAGAGGTGTTTACCACAGCAACTGGCTGGATTTAACATTTCAATTGTGGCTCATGCTATGTGAGCACTTTACATGTAGATCTAATGTAATCTTAGGCTGGCCACAGTGGCTCACACCTGTAATCCCAGCACTTTGGGAGGCCAAGGCAGGCAGATCACCTGAGGTCAGCAGTTTGAGACCAGCCTGGCCAACATGGGGAAACCCAATCTCTACTAAAAATACAAAAATTAGCTGGGCATGGTGCTGAGTGCCTGTAATCCCAGCTACTCAGGATGAAAATTGCTTACTAGGGAAAATACCTTGAACCCGGGAGGCAGAGGTTGCAGTCAGTCAAGATTGTGCCACTGCTCTCCAGCCTGGGTGACAAAGTGAGACTCTGTCTCAAAAATAAATTAATTAAATTAAATTAAATTTAAAAATAATGTAATATTTACAACAATTCTATAGGCCTGTCCTCCATTTTACACATAAAGAAGTCATAAAGGTCAGGATTTAAATCCAGATGATGTGACTCCAAGTGCATGCTTGTCAACTTTATACTATGCCTCATCCCACTGCTGCCCACCTGCTTGCCTTTAAGTCGGGCTTTAGTAAGTTATTTATAAATAAGAAAGAGAAAACTGCAGCATGGCCTTGAAAACTCACCTCAAGAGGAAGGGCCTAAGGAGATACAATAGAAAGAAAGCTGATCTTTGTCTAAAGACTTAAATTTGAATCTTGGCGCCTCCACATACCTGCTTCTGATTTCCCTTTTCTATGTGTCAGTTTCCTCATCGCCCTGTAGGGTGGTAATCACTGACCTACTTACCTTATAGAAGTGTGTTAGGGTTCTTTGAGGTAATGGGTTTGAGAACGTTTTATATCCCATGAGAAGCCCAACCAGTGGACGGGATCCTTGTGTGCTTTGGCTGAAGACAAAGACCCCAGCTTTGTGAGAGGGGAACCAACCCAGGCTTCATCTCACTGCCCTATTTCTGATGTGAGGTCGTCTACCTGCCTGACCTTCCC